GGCCACCCTGCTCCCTCAGACCTGGAGCCACACGGGGCTTGCCGGCTGTGTGACCTCAGGTCAGTCACTAAACTCTCTGAACCCATTTCCTGCTCATCCTAGAGGAGGCCCCTCAAAGGGGTGGCAAGAGGCTGATAAGGTGGCGCCTGCCCAGCAGAGTCGGACAGACACACAGCACTCAGCACGCGGGAGTGACCCCAAATGTCCCCACCGCTCCTTCAGAGGAGTCGGGGAGGGGCCAGGTGGCCAGAGGAGAATTCCTCTTGGATCGCAGCCTCTCTTCACAGGTGGGGGACCCCCAGCCTGCGGGGCCCTTCCTCCAACACCCTGCTGTCCTGCGGCAGCCTCGGACAGTCGAGGGGACGAGAGGACGGGGACCAGGGTGGAGGGGCCTCCTGAGCTCAGTCCTCTGCCTCACCACAGTCCCCAGGAGCCAGGACGGCCTGCCCCACAGCGCCACCTGGTGGCCACAGCTTCCACGTAGCCATGGTCCCCTGAGAGGGACTTGGGGCGCCTTGGCAATCGTGGGTGCCCGCCACAGCCTTTGGAGGACCGCTCTTCTCAGTCACAGGGCCATTCACCCCGTCTCAGATCCACTCGGCAGGGGGAAGACACGGAGAGGAGGAGGGTCACCGAGAGAGAGAGGGACAGAAGACCAGTCACGGTCCCCACAGGTCAGGGACACAGCAAAGCTGAGAAACAGCAAAGGCGAAGCAAACAGAAGCGAGGCAGACGGTCACCTGAGCCCCCAGGAGGGCCAGTGCCCGTTGTCCAAATGGCCCCCGCGCTGCCTGCTGGCTGGCCCTGTCCCCAGTGTGCACCCAGGAGCCAGCCTCAGGCCTGAAGCCTGGTGCCAGGCCGGGAGCTCAGGAACCTCAACTCCGGGCATGACATGGTCCCTGGCACCCTCTGCTGGACAGGCTGGGCGCCACACGCCTCCGGGCAGCCGCTGAGGGCCTGGCCCACGGGACACCCAGCACTGCAGAGGGAGGCGGAGGGGAAGGGCTCTGAGCGCGTGACCGCCCGGAGATGGCCACTCAGTGAGCACGGCAGGCTGTCGGGTCCGGGAGCCAGGCCAGGGTTCTGACCTCAGAGGTATCAGACAGGACCTCCTGGCCACGGCCAGGCCAGAGCCGTGGTCAGCGGTACACGCTCCGGCTGCTCCCAGCACTGACGGCTGGGCCTTCCTCTCCTTCAGCATGATCCCTGGTGGCCCGCTCTGGGCTGGTGGCCGGCTCTGGGCTGGTGCTTGG